CTGGAGCGATGAAGACAAATTGATTACTCCCACATAATCAACTAAGGGTGAGCCACTCTTCGGCACATCTTCACAAGTTCATTGTCACCACAATGGACTTGTCATCGCCTCAAGGACATGATCTCTTCGTGATGCTTTACTTGAACTTGCACACCGCAACCTAACCCCGCATAGAACTCTCATGTAGACCATGGGTTGGTACAAAGCGTAATGGATAATGCTTACCATACCATGGGATCACTTGATCCCTTTCGATACATCTTCTATGCTTTGCGTATTGATCAACTTGATTCACGCTTTTGACTTAGTCTTGATCAACCTTGTATCATGTCTTCTACATAACCAATCTTTGGATAATTTCTTGAATAGCACCTTGGTCATCTCATAAACTCCTTGAAACCAACACACGAACTTTCAAGAAATGCATATGGGAAAATCCTTCAAATATAACTCAAGACAACCATTAGTCCATAGAGAATGTCATCACTTACCAAAACCACACATGGGGGCACCATGATCTTTCACCTTTCGAGAGAGCTAAGATTTTTGCTTCCAGAGGCCAGTGCAAGAATTAAGGTGTCTGGAGGAACTAAAGATTATAGCACCATCATGGTCCCTTAAAATGCATTTGACTTCTTTAACTATGAATAATATCAAACAATTTCCTCATCTTCGTCCATCTCATATTTCTCTTCAGACGAGGAATCATCCCAGAAAGAAGCTTAAAACAAACTCATCTAGTACAATATACTACTTTCCATTACGATCTAATCATATGTCGTAGAAAAAGGAAACAACTTTTTTACCACGGAGGCTTTTCGTCGACCACCTAGTGTGCAAGGAGGAGGAGGGGCCGTGGCCATCGCTGCGCCAGCTAGGAACGGCGTCAGGGGTGGGTTTGTTGAGCTGAGGAGCTCGGAGTTGCGGATAAAGCCTGCATTGCCGTGTCGTCCAAAAGCCAGGAGCTCTGAAGGAGCGATGGCTTGGCTCGGTGGAGGCGGCCACTATTCGACCTCAATGGCAAGCAGAGACACTGCGGCGACCATTACGGACAGCGGAGGGGCGGCGACTAGCCGAATGAACGCAAATCGGTGATGGTGGTGGAGTTGTTGCGACTATCCGAAGCGGCGGAGTCGCGGCTGAGACAGGCGGGCGACGGACTCAGGGTGGTGATGGTGGTAGCCAAGATCCTGCCACTGACGGTCGCATGGGAAAGACGGGTGTTGCGGCGGGAACTTTCATCGTGGTAGTTGGGTCGCGCGTGACTACAGATGTATTTTGTGGCATCAGGGTGGAGTGCTGCAAATACCCAACACATGGAAAAAAATTATATGAGACCAGGTCTCACGGTTAGTAGGTGAGACCCATTTTGATGAATGACACGTGGCATTCACAAATCACAAAGCATCTAATCTCTCTCCCCCCTGATTTTAAGTGGGGGTGGAGGATGCTTTGTGATTTGTAAATGCCACGTGTCATTCATCAAAATGGGTCTCGCGTGAGACCTGGTCTCATAGAATTCTTTTCCCCAACACTTGGAGGCAAATTATGGGGCTGACCATTTGGAGATACATCATCTGATGGAGTACGCTTTTTGAGTCCCTAATCCTGTTTTACATCATTTGTTGGAGATGTTCTGAGTTGTGATTTTAATATGGTTGAGGAAAGCAGGTTTTGTCATCGGTGTCTCTAGGTGTCAGCCGATCGATAGACCGTGTGATCGATTCCGTTGCTCGCTCACCATTTGATTCGCGTCGCTTCGGCCATTTGTAGGAGTGGCTTGAAGGACATTTGATTAACCTCTTTCACAACCATGGATAAGCCTTGCCCTTTTCACCCAACAAATTTTGACCTCAAACTTTCTCTGACATGTTTGAAACATCCATCCTTAGATCGTCCCATCATCGTGTGCAGGCCCAAATATCTTTCTGTAAGAGCCTCAGAGGAAATAGCAATAGTGTTTTTAGATGCTCTTTTATCTGGGCCTCACAACCCTTACCAAAGAAGATAGACGACTTCTGCAAGTTGACATGATAGCCCTGATGGCTCTTCGTAGTCCCGCAATATGCCCTGCAAAGCCATCACATTCCGTTGCTAGGGATCTTAACTATCATCGGCAAATACAAGATGTGTAACATTGGGGCCAGTGCTTCCAAAAGAAACATCACTAAGAGCATCTCCAATAGCTTGTCTATATGGATGTTTATACTCGTTTTTCACGACGTGAGCCCAAAACAGACGTCCAACAGCTTGTCTATATGGTCGTCCAAATATACACATCCTCTAAATCGACCTCGACAATGTCAATGCCTGGACATTGTGAAGGCGTCGTCTAAACTCAACTGCAGTCATGATTTCTTCCTCTCCCCAGCGACGACCCACCTGTCATGGTCCCTATATATAGACGTTCTGATGCAAAACTGGACGTGTATATAAGGAAATCTTTTTAGACCATTGTCTATATGAATATATAGACATCCAAATATACACATGCTATTGAAGATGCTTTAATCTCTTCTCTTTATGCATTCTTCAGTATAGCCAAGAACCCCCTCCACACAGATACGGGACAGGAAGTTCCCGTGTCTCAGGCCTCTTGAAGAAATTAAAAATGTCAAATAATCCATCATTTAGCCCGTGCAAACCCCATGCGCATCATCATCTGCTCGAAAAAACATCCGACCCTATTGTAGAAGAGATATAACGCAAATCTTACGCTTTCTCCTTGGAATTCATTCGAACTAATCAATCGCCTTGTCATGAATGAATATTACAAAACTTCAGAGCTCGTTGCCACCCCAGGACCAGCGAGGCGTCCCTGGCCCTGGCAAAGATGATGAGAAGTGGAACATGACAACCGCCCGCCACATGAGCTGCGTGCATAAATACCACTCCCGATCTGCATTTCCTTGCTCCGACCGGCAGCTCGGGTCGGGTCCCGGCGGCATATAATTGCAGGAGCCATCAACAAGGACACGGCTGTTTAAAGGCGAGAGCTAGCACACAGGCAGGCAGGTAATCGTCCCCACTTTCGTACTCGTTTCTTGTTTTATCATCGCAAAAAAGAGTGCCACACTATCAGCCGGGCATCTTAGCACTAATCTAGCTTGCGCTTAATTCTCTGCTTGGCCAAACACGGCGCCGTCCATGGGTACGAGCACTGGGCACCTACGGATACACGAACTGCCAAAGGACGGCGCTACGTACATAGCGACATTTAGAGCAACTCCAACAGGCGACTCATTTCATCCGCGGGCGTTTGTTTGAGTCGGCGTGTTGGACTGCCATCGTCGATGCAGATACGCCGATCTAAACGGACGCGCGCCCGTTTTCGTCCGCGTGCCGATCCATTCCTGACTCATTTTTAAGCCGGATTTGCGTCGGTGCGGATACAAGACGGATGCGCGCGTGCTCGCCTTCTCCTCCCCCTTGGCCCGCTGGTCGGTGACACATTGGCCATCCTCTTCCAATCCAACAGCAAACCCTCGCCCGCCTCCTTCGTCGTCGACGTCGCCGCTCATTTTTTTTTCTAGTTGAACATATGTGGGCTCATGTTGACAATCAATAGTTGTATCTTTCTTATTCGGCTTGCAAAATTATGCGAGACATTTTTACTTCTATTCGGCTCGTAAAACTATGATATTTATTTGGTTGTGGATTATATGTTTACTTGTGAAATAATGCAAATTTTGCGCTATATGATGAAAAAGGGCGGCCAGCCGGCTATGCCGGCACATATGGATCGACATGTCAGACACATTACCGACCCAAATCTCAAACCAAGCGAACGTCAGGTGGGCGGCCGATCCAAACGTACAAAAACGCCGTCCATTTGGGTCGGTGTGTTGGAGTTGATCTTATTCAGGTCACGACGCCGATCAAAGCATTTCTCTAAACACCCAAGTGATATCATGAGGTTGGCTTTGCTTCTTGATGATTTTATGGGCGTGGTGGCGGGTGGCCCATGCACCGCTGCTCGTCGCTCAACCACTTAAATACCGATCGCGTCACTCAACTGTTCCGGGAGTGTCCTGGATGCCCAACAGACTTTAACTGCTACAACACGACCATCACATGCGTCTGTCCTCGGTCTACTCTACTCCGTAGTATATTTCCCAAGTGAAAACCGACTAGCGGTAGCGGTACACATCCACGGTATGAACCCCTGGTCAAAGCATGTAGCACCGTTCTTGTATCCACTCGGTTATTTTTGCATGCATTCGCGCAGAATATAATGTCACTATTCCAAGTCACATGAGCAGGGCTAGCTCTGCGGATCTGCCTCGGCCAGCACCACATATGGGCACGAAGCAGAGTTCGCTCCTTCACGTCACAGGTGAAAAACAGAGCATATATTCACCCTCACTACCTACCAATACTACAACAGATGGTTGCCTCCCACGTAAGCAGACAAGCAGCACCCAATTTCTCCCTGATTCTGCACCCTTCACTTTCCTCTCTCGAATCTGGACTTCTGGATAAACTCCGATCTCCAATAACAACAGAGTTTTTCCAGAAGAAGTAAAAAAGAAAAAAAAACACCAGTATCTGGTTTACAATCTCATACAAAAAATTCATTCTGGATTTGTGAAATAATGAGTGCATGGAGGAACACAAAGGACGGTGTGCACAGCAATTTCCAAAATCTGTACAAAAAGAGCTTTGGCAACAACTGCTGTAGTACAATGCTACATGAAAATGCCTCTCATAGTCATAGAACAGAGCACATGGCTTCTTCATTGATGAAGGATAATTTCAGAGGCAGGAGTATACTAAAAGTGGAGTAAGATCATTTCCTTTGGGAAAATTTCTATGCTTAAGATTTTGCTCGACATATAGATCTATACAGCTCCCGGCAGGGGAGGGGAACACCGACAGTGAAAAAACAAACTAATCCAACCCAAAAGAATCAGACATCTCTTTGCGAATTGCGAGCCAGTAATAACAGTACCTGCGCTGCAGGAATGGATCGAGCAAGAGGCCATCGATCGGGAGCAGGATCATTGGGCCACGGTGCCCCGGGACTGCAAGGTGATGCTCCTCTGACTGGGCATGGCGAGCATGGCGGTGTGATCCAGGAAGTCCTTGAGCTCCACCACGGCCTGCAGTATCCTCCTGAGGTCGTCGGCGCGCACGAAGCCGGCGGCGCCCAGCCGGCGCACGGCGTAGACGTAGATGGTGAGGCACCCCTTCCTGAACTTGAAGCGCGCCATCTCGCTGCCGGAGAGGCCGCGGATGAGCTTCTTGTTCACGTCCCCGAGCGGGATCATGGCCGGCCACAGCTGGTCCACGGCCGCCTTCATGGCCTCCGACTCGAACACGAAGAGCACCACCTTGGACTTCTTGGTGCCGAGGCCGAGCGTGAGCGTGTGCCACGCCTGGTGCGCCAGGATGGTGAAGCTGGTGGGCATGTAGGCGGTGGTGGACGGGAACGGCAGGCTCTGCAGCTCGCTCAGGAACGACGGCGGGATGTCCAGCAGCCGGAGCAACTCCAGCGGCGACGCGCGACGCACCGTGAACGACTTGACGATGAACTGCCCGCCGAAGCGGATGCCCTTCACGTCGCCGCACGGCTTGAAGCTCGCCTCCGCCGCCGCCGCCGCGCCGCCGGCCTTGTCCTTCTTCTCCTTGTCCTTCTCCTTGTGCTTGCTGTGCTTGTGCTTCTTCTTCTCCTCTGCCATGGCGATGGCTGGCGTGCCGCTCCTTTGCTTTGCTTTCCCTGCAGTCGCTGCCGCTGCTGGAGTGAGCTGTGCTGCTGGGGAAAAGGCCGTAATGAGGAGCCCCACCGCCACCTCCCTTCCCTTCGCTGTGCCTCCTCCTGCAGCGGCTGCTGGTACGACCATACCGCAAAGTTTCTAGTCAGAGTGAAGGACCATCCACTTCACCACTTGGACATTATTCAGGACGAGCTTGATTAGTAGCTTTATTATCGTACTTAGTATTTTTGTAATCTCTTCGGTTGGGCAGAGAACACGGAGGCGCTGTCGGTTGCCTATGCCCCCGCCTCGTCATACAAAACGAGTTTTTCAGTTTTATAAACCAAGTTATCGCGATTGTTTAAGTACGCGCACGCGTCTGTGTCTCTACTGACTTTGGCCCATTTGTATTAGTAATTAGTGTATGCTTTCTCTCCCTGATGCTTTTTAGTGCGGCCAGCCATCATAGCAACGAAGCTAAAGATCATACTGCTTAAAAGGTGGCACATGATCATAGGCTCTGCCAAAGAGCACCGAGTAGTTTCAGACCTAATAATGAGACCCTGTTGGTGCGCATTTCTAAATCTGGTTCCACTTTTAACACTATTCTTAATTTGTCCTGGGTGTTCATGATGATTGATTGATTTCTTGGAGAAATATAAAAGCATGGGTAATTAAAGAAGAAGATCAATCTAGAGCCGCCAACCAAAGAATTCGATCACAATTATACTCCCTCGAAAACATGCTACGTACCCGCCAGCAGTTGATCCTGAAGGAAACCAATGATCCCTCGCGGAGAAGCAGCAACAATCCTCAAAAGATCAGGTTCGAACTTCCTTTGTTCTTTTCCAGTCACGGCAACTGCGAAAGCGAATGCCCTTGAAGCAATGTGACCTGTCGGAGACTGATCAGGTGAGGATCTTGACAAACAAAAGGCTATCGGCCACAGATGGCACTTCCTACACTTAGAAGTATGGTAAGATTAAAGGCGAATCCATGGAAGAATTATGGCAACAGCGATAGCGCAACAGCTAACGTAGCTATCAGTAGAGCTTATTGAAAATGACGCCGTACAGGAAGCTCCTAAATCTTCCAACCAATTCTTTCGGCTTGTATTTGTGCCACTTCAGTATCCTATATGTAATACTTCTTTTTTCGTTAGTGGATTGGCGTATAGATTTTATGTTAAAGGCTGAACAGTTCCCTTCAGTTCTTAAGAGACTAGATTTTGTTTTCATCCAAAAGGTCTTGCATAGTTCAAATTAAGTGGCTAAGAGCATAAGACTGCATACATTTCAAACGAATCTGGCTAGTTGCCGGCAGATTTTTTTTACTTATTGTCACCCCTTTCAGTTTTTCAGACTGTTTTAGATCACAGTGGAGCACTAGAGCGAGAAGATCTAACTCCCAACTGGTGGTTGATATGAAGCTAAGTACATCTCAAAAGTACAGCTGGACACTGATTTTCCAGCGCAACAACCAGTCGTAACATATAAATGCACTAGTCCACATCGATCCTGGTTGATGTGTAGTGCTGTACCTCAGTTACATCAATATGCTTGGAAGGTCATGATTTGAAAGCCCAACAGACATGCTCGGCTCAACTATGGGTACCAGAGTAGATGTCCAAAGCAGAGCAACTATATTTCTGGTAGTAGAATGCAAGAAAGTTGTCGGAATCATGTCTGAGAAAATTAGCTTACCGATTGGAAGGACGGGTGCCAAGATATTCTGACCTTCTGAATTAGGTACAACCGGAGCATTAAAGCACCCCTTGGGACAGGGCTGCATATAAAAGTTGAAAAGCCATGAAAGCATGTAGAGAAAGATCAGAAAATTGAGATGCAAATCATCTCTCAAGAGAGATTATTATGCCCCTTGAAAATACTGGAAGTGCTAAAAACGCTCAGATGAAATTCAGTGTTTTATTAGGATAGAATATCTGAGAGAACCTTGGTGAGTGCATAATGTACAGTTGTACACACAACTAAAGCAAAAGTAAGTCCAAGAAGCGAGCGATTTAACATAAACATCATATTGCAATATTGCAGCACAGTAAAATTCAACACATACAGGCAGATACAGAAGATAAATATAGATGTCAGGCCCTTTCAGAGAGTGAACTATTGTTTTCAAGATCCTGATCTTGTATTGTATAATCTGATCTTGGGTGCGAGGTGCTATAATAACTGATACTACTCGTGCAGCCAGTTTCCAAATTTCAATTACCAACCCTTTTTGAAGGGAAAGATGTAGAGGAAGTCAGAAGACACAGGCAAGACAAGGCAACAAACGAATAATAATTAAACTTTATACTAGGCCTAGAGCTGTCTCTTTCACCACGAACGAACATACTTGGCTAAATTCAGGCGGACATGCCGCAGACTGCAAACGTGCAAGCACAAATCAGGGCCTGTATTCATGCACTGCATTAGGCGTGATTAATTGTGATAGCAACGCCCCATCCACTGTAGGACACTTGAACCCAACGATGATTGCTCAAAAATTGACCTCAAAATGCCGCAGGAAACCAAAGCATCGGCGAGACGGGCGCGCAGCGCAAACGATAAGTGAACATGTTAGTACGACCGCACCTAGCAAGCAGACGGAAAATCAACCATGGAAAGCAAGCAGGCAAAACCACACGGGTCAACCGAAGAGCACGAGGAGGAATCAACCACACGCAATCTGCACTGTCGTGTCAGATTGAGAAGGGCGCGAGGCAGCAGCAACTCCAGGCTTGGTTTCAAAGAAGGCGCATCGATCGCGGGGGAATTCCATCGAATACCTGGGCTGCGTCTCAGAGCAGGGATGCCGGATCTTCCACCCGTGTGCGCATGCTACCTCGTCGTTCTTCGGGGCTAGTAGTGCATCCCAGACCAAGATCGCTGCCGGAAGACGGGAGGAGTGGAGCTTTCGTCCTTTGCGCGAGTCCGGCTCCGGCTGGCTGACGCAGCCCACTCTGAGGTGAGGCGAGGCGAGGTGAGGTGGTAGCCGCACGACCGAGCGACGGGCCAAATTAATCGAGGAGAAGGCGACAGGGCGGATGCGGAGACCTGAGATTTCAACGGGAAAAAGCTCCAGGGCACCGCCGTGTGCCGCGTCGGTGGCGGTGGCGGTGGGTGCGTGATGCGACGCGACGCGACGCCGTGGTCGGCGTCGGACGACGCGTGTGATCTCCCCCTCACGCGCCGGCGACACCGCACCGCACCGGGCGCGTCGTCGCGGTGCGATTCCCCCCGGCCATGGGCCCTCGTGGCAACGCGCGCTTGGGTGGGTCTCCCGGTTGGTGGCCCCCGGGCCCCGAAGGGCTGCTATTTTTAGACAATCGGGCCCTGAAGGGCCGAGCCACGAAGCGGCCACGGCCTTGCAGTTATGGATTATTTTTTCTTGCAGTTATGGATGCTAGCTTCCATAGCTAAAAAAAGGTGCTAGCTTCCTATACGGCGCCCGCTACTTCAGTTTTTGCAAAACGGGTGCACACCTCCTCCTGCTCGTACGTAGGCTGGACCAAAAGCTCGTAGCTCGCTAGCTCACCTTGTGTTAACCTCATAGCTCACTTTTTAATGAACAGAGCCAAGCACATATTTTAACTCGTTTTTAACTCGTTAAACTCAACGAGCTTAATGAGCAAGCGAATGAGTTTCACGAGCAACTTGTTAAGCTCGCTAATACAACAGAACACATTTTTTTGTATATGTGGCAACATTTTTTGATACCTTAGCCCATCTATTTCTCTAATTGATCCAACCTAGCCCACAAGAGACAATAACTAGCATACCCACTCATCTGGTCACTTTCTTCCTTTGTAAAAAACACATTAGAAGTAAATTAAAGGGGCTACTGCCTGTTAACGAGTATTCGCGAGCGCTCGCGAGCTTAACGAGCTATTGATAAACAGAGCCGATCAGCATGTTTTGCTTGTTAAGCTTAACGAGCACGAGCTTAACGAGACGAGTGGCTCGTTAATTCATCCCTACAGGGACAGCCCATAGTACCCTCTACTTTTCTATTTTAAACTGAAAAAGGTGGCTCGAGGTGTGACTCCTCGTATAGAGTTAGCTTCATTAGCCAACCAGACAAATCGACCCGATGTGATTAGTTACATCCCTTTTATTCTTTTCTTCCTTTTTCTTTTTTTCCTTTTCTTTTTATTTTCTTCCTTTTGTTTTTCTTATTTTTGGGGGGAAATGTGCGAACTTATCTCTATCAAAATCAATGAAACTTTTTCAAATTCATCAACTTTTTGAACTATTTTTACAAATTGATGAGCTTTTTTCAATTCGCGGATTTTTTTAAAAAAAATTGAACTTTTTTCAAAATCGTCAATTTTTTTACTTTTTATGACCTGTTTTCAAAATCTATGATTTTTTTTCAAAATTGATGAACTTTTTTTCAAAATTAATGCAAATTTTGAAATTGGTGATTTTTTAAAAAAAATCTGTGATTTTTATGAATTCCCTTTTCTTTTATTTTTTTCAAAAAGTGAACGATCATCGATGGGCTGGTCAACCGCGACAGGTGAGTCCACGACCATCGAACTGGATTTTTTTAGGGAACCAACGAACCGAAGGTAACGCGTCATGTTGGGCTGGCCCATGAGGGATGTCGCGCGGGCGCCCTTTCTCCTTACCGGCGATGAAGACGTCGATAAGGAGTTCCTTATGGGTGTGCATATCCATAGAAATGTCGGTGCATGCTTTCGGATTTTTGAACATCAAAATGCAAAAAAGATCACGAATTTCGTGGAAGATACATGCTTTTTTAAGTCACATTCAAATGCAGACACTCATATACGTAAACAATCACCTTGATGAATATACACACGTGCATCCTATTTCTACGAGCACCTCTGAGAGACTGAGTTGGCAAATCATGAGATTGACGAAGTTTTCTGCCGCCGCAAGTGAGGAGATCCAATCTGAAGGCCTATTTCAGCACTCTAGAGGAGGGGGAATCCACCATAGAAGGTTTCTTCATCAACCTTACTGCCTCCATGACCATGTGAGAGTAGTACATGGCCTTAGGGTCCATAGAAAATAGCTATAAGTCTCTCTCTCTCTGATCTTTAATACCACTTCCCATGAGCTGTCTCACATGATCGAGATCAATTCAATGTAATCGGTGGTGTGTTTGTCGGGATATGATGAATTTTCACTTTTATGATCATATTGTGCATTGAATTCAATTCAAACTTTTAAGGTTTCTTTATTGTATAATTAAGTAGTTATGTATGCTCTTTGATCTACCTATCTTCTTTGACCAAATTCGATTGGTATTTCACTTTTCTTCAGAGGGAGTGGTGCATTGTAGTGGGTTCTAAGATTGCGGAGATCTATATCACAATGACAGAAAGGGACAAGACACATATTGTATTATTGCCATTTGCCACTAAGGATAAAACAATAGTTTATTGTCACGTTGCTTGATATTTTACTGTCTACATTATGTCATGTTGCTTTTTGCAATGCTCTATTTATCATGAACTTAATATTTCGAGATGCATGCTAGATAGCGACCTTGGGGTGGAGTATTAGTTGTAGATGCAGATGGAGGTCTACATAGCACGGATGTAATGCCTATATGAGATCATACCATGTATTATCATAGCCATAAATATAAATATTGCAATTTAATCACTCCTCAACTGTAATTTATTTACAACACATCACTGCTATACTTATGAGAGATGGCACTAATGAACCTATGGCCCTAGGGTCTATTCTCCATTCCTGAAATCTTCACTGCTTACTATTCTTTGATGTACCATTTAACATTTCTATCAATTATTAATATCATGTGCAATTTAACGTTGTAAGTAGCAGGACAAGAAGCTTCACAGTGTTCTTGATGTGTTGGGGACAAATTTGTGTTGTTTTTGTGTGCAGGTACCAGTGACTTTGTTTACTGGAAGAACTCCTTCTAGTTCGATAAATGTGTTAGGGACAAGTCTTACTCGCAATGTAATATCGCTTACAAGCAATTGTACTAATGGAGATGGAGAATATGGTGGTGGCGATGATGGCTATGGAGATGGATACTATGGTGGTGGCGATGATGGCTATGGAGATGTAGACCACTGTAGACGGGAATGGTGATGACGACTGCAAGGTGTCGAAGAACGAAATGGTCGTATCCTCTTCTCCTTTACATAGTGCATATCGACAGAATGCAGTTTCGGAGCGCCCCTTGCGAATCAGCCTCGGTCCCTTTACGATACTTCTCAGGGATGATGTCACGGAGTAGGTGTCTAATAACCCACAAGTATAGGGGATCGCAACAGCTTTCAAGGGTAGAGTATTCAACCCAAATTTATTGATTCGACACAAGGGGAGCCAAAGAATATTCTCAAGTATTAGCAGCTGAGTTGTCAATTCAACCACACCTGGAAACTTAGTATTTGCAGCAAAGTGTTTAGTAGCAAAGTAATATGATAGTGGTAGTAGCAGCAACAAGAGTAAAGACAGCAAAAGTAATGTTTTTGGTATTTTGTAGTGATTGTAACAGTAGCAGCGGGAAAGTAAATAAGCGAGAACCAGTATATGGAAAACTCGTAGGCACCAGATCAGTGATGGATAATTATGTCGGATGCGGTTCATCATGTAACAGTCATAACATAGGGTGACACAGAACTAGCTCCAATTCATCAATGTAATGTAGGCATGTATTCCGTATATAGTCATACGTGCTTATGGAAAAGAACTTGCATGACATCTTTTGTCCTACCCTCCCGTGGCAGCGGGGTCCTATTGAAAACTAAGGGGTATTAAGGCCTCCTTTTAATAGAGAACCGGAACAAAGCATTAGCACATAGTGAA